AAGCACCAAAATTATTTTGCGGCAAAGTTATCGTTACTGAATTATTTTTTTCTTCTTTTTTTAGATTAGAGAATGGAAGCTTGCATCAAATGCAGCGTTGATCCTCTGTCAAATACTTAAAAATTAAACACACTGTCAGGCCACAAATATTTACATCCAAATTTCACGTCGAGGTTCGATTACACGGTTAGAACAAACTTCAACGAAATGTCTATTTTGCCAAATAATCTGCGCTTTCGTGGAATACCATTGAAAATACAAACCGCGAGAAAGTACAACGGTTAGGCTATAAAAACGTGCAAATATCGCGTGTATCGTGTGAGAGTTGGTGGTGCGATAATTTCGTATCGCTCAGGTTTATGTAAACATATCTCTGATGAAGTATCATTGATAAGTGAAGTAAACATTCAGCACGAGAATACGAGCAAGTGGTATGAAAACATCGTAAATGCATATCGTATGTTTGAAATGCTACGTAAATATGATTTGGCATTAAGTAAGAATATATCACGGTGGGATATATAATGGAATATATTGCGGAAGAATAATACTAGCCGTAAAAATGTATCATACTTAGACACGTATGTTTACCAAAACGTATGGAAAATTGTGAAAGCAATTTTAAAATAACAACTCGACTCTTCGGTCGAATCACGCTCTTTCGAAACCGTTTAAAAACTCGCGGAAACCTTCAGGATACGCTGTAGTAGAACCGTGGAACAACAGTATACAACTCTGCCACTGTCGCTGAATTGTTTCTTTAACCTTGAAACGAACGTGGTGCATTCGTGCGTGCAGCCAATCGGGACAAAAATCAAAAGAACGAGAGGAGACGAAGCTTGGAAAGCGCAATCCCGCTTTTCCTCCGCTGAGAGGATCGCTCGCGTTTCGCAGTCCTTTGTGTCGCTAATTTCGACTTGTTTCACGCGAGTGCCCACTCTCGTCACGCCTTCTCTACCGCTTCGTTCCGATCGAGGACCGAGTCGTCGATTGTCGCCGTGAAAACCACTCGAAACGAGCTATACACACTGCTACCGGCACTCGTACAAGCACCCTTTTTGTTCGAAACGAGAGTTCCGAGAAGGGGCCTTCGAGAATCGGGCCACAGGAAAAAATAATGGAATCGATGGGGCAATCGCGCTAACCAATACCATCGCCATGCGATCGTGTATCACAAACGTGTGAACCTATACGATTCTTGGTGCTTTACGAAATAGATTCGTCACGATTCTCGGCTCTCTATCTCGTGTAATTCCCTCCTTCGTTAAAACGTTCTATCTTCTGTTTTTTTAACATCTTTTTTTTTTTTTAATTCAAGATACATGGAAATATTTGAGGTTTCTGTAATCCATTATCGGTAGATATAATATAGCGTAATATAATATCGGATATGAAGCCCTTATCGAAAGGTAATTTTCCGATCCCTGCAAAATGTATACGTTATATCCAAGTAATCTTGCCAATGGATGATTAATGTAAGAACGGAACATTTCCTACGATTTGGTTGACATTTACTCAAATCGATATCTAAAGGTTAACCTACGTATATATTGACTGTAGCGTACAGTCGTATTACAATCACGCATTGCGGTTTCATTCTTTCATTGAACTTTCCTATTGCTAACAATAAGGAGTACGAAGCCTTAACTTTGTTCGAACGAGGCCGCCGCGTTAGTTGCATCCTGGAAGCCCAACAGCAACTGCTGAAATATTCCTGCAATTTTTTACTCTCATGCTCGTTAGTCGAGCGATCTGAAACGCTTTACCAATGTAAACTGGCTGCTTCATTTGACATGAAACGTGCTCCCAAGTTTGAAGTAAAATCGAGTTGGTTCCTTGATTTGAAAGGAATTCAATTATTATTTTTTTTTATATTATTATGTAACGGAAGTAGATTGTTTATAAAACTAGTATGAATTATCTTCATGGTATATTGAGACTGAATTGTAAGGTAATCAACTTCGTTTATTGTTACATAACGAAAATAAATTATTCATGAAAGTAGTTAAACAGTGATTAACTCACAACACGCTGGTTACAGAATAGTCTATTGATTCTTTCAAGGACTTTTTCATACTTGCAATTTTACCGAGCGAGAGTTTAACGTAAACGAGATCAAACAGCTAATGGCATTTTAATGCGTTATTCGATAACAGAGAAAAAGAAAATAACGCGTTGATTCATGCTTGCAGCTACGACTTTATGTATAGGATATGAATATATCTAGGAACGGTAACGAAACAAGTGAGAGGAAAGGAAGTAAATGAAACACAGAGTGAGATAAGTCCTTGGCCATCTGTTGCGTAATAGTTATGCGCATTAAATGTTGCGTGGCAAAATTTGCAACAATTAACTCGTATATGAAGAATATTATGTTTCTCGATATAACCAAATGAAGTACGTTGCCAAAATTAATGACGCGTAAAAATATAAACTTACAAAATTGCTCGTAGAGAAAAATCGTATTCGCATTCTACGCAGAAATATTTTTTATATGTCTATTGCGTCATTTATTAGCAAATATTACCTTTTCTGCGTAATTTCAATAATTATAATAATTATAACCTATCGGACATTTCTCTGTTGAAAATTGCTAGGTTAATAAGTATATCGCTGGCGTATTTAAAATGTTCCGCAAAAATTATACGGCAATGTCGATTTGTATGCAAAAGAAATGATGGTAAACAAAAATGAAAATTATATTGCTGACGTATTTAAAATATTAATACGTCTATCTTAAAAGTAGCGTAGCAATGTTCAACTGTAGTAGAAAAAAAGAATGGGTGAAACCTGCGTATACGTGAATAATACGTATGGATGATACGTATTAAAACGGCAAGAAGAGAGACTCGATTTAAATAGATTAAACGTTAAATAAAAATAAAATACGGTATCTCCGTTACATCGCACTAAGTAATAAACAAAAGGAGTAATAAACAAAATGAAATATGCCACACAACGTTTCACCATGGCGCGCGTAGATAAAACAGTGGTGGCCCTGTGGCCATTGTGGCAGGTTCGCATGAGCAGCGACATTCCACAAAATTCTGAACAGAATCGACTGTGCGGGAGAAATCTAAAGAGACACAACGAACCTTGATAACCTTTCGATCTGTCATTTCAGAAATTTCAACCATCGTCCAATCCGTGCACGGAAAAAGATTACGACGCACGTGTTTTTTTTTTAATTTTTTTTCTCCTTCTCTCCCTGACTCGCTTTTTCTTCGACGCAACAGCAAGGTTAGAAAACTTAACTTCTCTGTTAAACGTGAATGACTACATCTAATTATTATTACTATTACTATTATTATTATTATTAGACTGCGCGCGAGTTTATGTAAATTAATATTTTTATGATTACAATTAAAGGACTTTCAATATTTTCTGTACTTTTATATCGTTCTAGATATTTTTTCGCCGTTAAACTTCCTATAAATGTATAAATGTCCATAGATGAATTATTATTGTTAAATCTAAAACTTGGTTCCGCCTCTTAAATATCTTGTCATGTCGTGGAAGTTTTCATGAAGCGTTCTGTATTGCACGCATATTATACGTTACTGTTACAATAGAAAATTACAAAGCACTTAGCGAAAAATTCCGCGAAACCATACAAGTAATTTTGTTTTCCTAATAGTAAGCGAGATAAACGTGTATGTATAACGAGAAAGGTTAACGACTCCAAAAAAATTGCCGTCACGATCGATAGAACGAACGGGATCGAATAACATAAACAGGACAAAACAAAGCATATTACTGGTTGTCGTCGATCGCGTTATCGTTTCAAGCAGACTTCCATCAATTGCAGAAATCCTTCTAATTAATATACATATAGAAATAGATATTTCCTTTTATCTATTGTATGTCAAGGCTATGTAATTACATAATTACAACGATAACATATCACCGCATTGCAATCTTGCTAATGAGGATGGTATTAATCATCAGATTCTCAGATACGAACAAGCAAGAAGTTGTCGAATGAAAAGAGAGAAAGGGGAATTTATTTAAGAATGAAGGAGGGTATTTTTTTTTGTAAAAAAAATAATGGATTAATCGCTTCTTAAGTAAGAGTAAAAATATGTATAATTAACGAATGCGGTTAGACTCGACGAACGAGAGTTTCGTTACCGCGACCGAAACCATGTAACAGAAAGGACGAAGACGAGGGAAGTTGTTTCTTTAAAGGGGACAGTCACGCTACAAGTGAAATTGCGTAGTAGCACGCGTAGGAAGAACCGTACGTCCGTTTTCTCGTTCGTACCATCGACGAGAAGAAATGTTTCTTTCCTCTTTCTCTCTTTTTCTCAATTGTTCTTCTTATCTGGTTCCTGAGGTAGATAATCTGCGAAGCGTCTTTCCTAGCTACGAAGCGATTTCTTTTCCCGACCGTGGAGAAACATCCTCTCTTTCTCGGCTCGCACACGAGAAAGAGAAGATAGCATAGGAGGTGCAACAAGTTGAAAAGACTCACTGAACTCGCTGTCCGCGATGCTCGAACCAGGATGCTCGAGCACACAGAAGGCCAGGAACAGGATGTAGAGCCATCGTCGAGGAGCTTCGTCACAGCCACGGTTAAAACACCACCGTTCACACGCCATATTTACGAAGCTGCTAAACTCTCCTGCGCTACACGAATATAAATCCGTGCGCTTCGTGTCCCGTCTGCCTCCCGCGGTCGACCAGACGATGACGGAAGGATGATCAGAGGGAGGGGGTATGGGGAAACGATAGAGATGAAACGAGAAACGAGAGATAAGGACGGAAACACCCCGATAAATGAAATGTCGGATGGGAGGTAAACCGATGCTAGAAAAGGAAACCGGGTGAAAAGTTTGGGAAATTGTAATCGACGAAACAATTTGGGCTAGGTTTAATCGGTCGTCTTACCGATGTATAAACGTTCACCGCGATAGTCACAAATGTCATCGAAAACACGATTTTCTACGACGGGTGACTATTTGAACATGAACGTGCGGGTTTATACGGCGATTTATATGTTTCATTCACGAGCAGGGACGAACTGTACGCGAGAAGACGAGACAGGGAGCCGAGCACTTGATTTCACGTTCCACGACACGTCTTTAAACCGGTACCAGACGGATGAGAACGACAACGACGATCGCTTGTGGCAGGAACGGCATGTTGGCACTCACTGACTTACCGCGGCATTCTTCATACGCTCCCCAGCTAGAGTATCCGTTACATTATCTAGATAATGAATCTACAGTTCAGATAATCAAGCGATAGGAACCAATCAAGTCGCCGCTAGCTTTGCCCGATATATCTATTGGGGAAACTTTCGATTTTTTATTGATTTGTTAAAACTTTTGTTAAATAAGGATTTCTTTTACAACACCGACAAAGGATTCAATATTGGTGATTAAAGGGAAATAATAAAACATACCAATATTTTACCTCAATTTCTCTTATTCGATAAAGGTGAAAAGTTCATTTTTTAAATTGTATTTGAATTATTATCAAAATGTTTTAAAAAAGAGGAAAAATTATATTTATATTATTCATGTCGGCAATAAAGATCTCTATAGTCTCCAAAGACGATAATAATGGAGTTTATTCAAACAAAATTTAGCATTTACTGAATAAAATTTTTAATTTGTCATCTTAAATTATTAGGAATTATTAATTTTCTAAGAACTTTTCTATGTTAGAGAGACAGGTATTTGATAAAGAAGATGGAAGTAATTCAGAATCATATGTTATGTCAGAAATGTAGGAATCACAAGGAGAAATAGGGAGAATTTTCCCCAATTTCATTTGATTTAAACATGGATCTGTTGTCAAACCGCTGTTTACTGTTTGATGTTGATTAAATATAGCCTGCATGAAATAATTGAAGAAAATAGTATTTATACATAAAAGGTTAATTTTTGAAAAGAAAAGCAAAGATAGTAAGAAAACATAGCATTGAAAACTTAATTCAAGTATATCATGTTTACCGTAACCATTATTTTATCTTGGAATGTCCTATGACAATGCGAATCACCTGAGATAGATGGGAACTTTAAAGCTAAATTAATTTGTCGTATTTGTTCATACTTTTTCTTTATCCTATATGATCTATCTGTCGTTCTATACATATAATCTATTTCATCAAATGCATCTAATGCTAAAATAAGCTTAGAATTACGGATCCTTGCATATTCGTCTTTTTCTTCTATGTCTTCCTCTTTTTCTATAGATTGTATTATTCTGGCCTGTCTCTCTTTTGTCATTTTACCCCACAAAAGATAACGTTGAGTCATCAAAAAAAGTGCTTGACCATCCATACCAAGAGGAGTAATGCCAACTTGCTCAAAATATTTAGCAACTTCTATCCATACTTGACCTAATTTCAATGTAAAATATAATTCTATGGTAGATATCGTAATCTGAAAAGATATTAAACAATACAAATTACATCAAATGTTAAGTACAAGATGAAATTCAGTAAATATTTTTGTACGACTTACTCTGTCTTCCATTGAAAGATTAGCATGTAATTTTTTATAATGTTCCTTGGCCATTTCATACTTTTCATTATCTCTTTCAATTATTTTGCAAATACTAAATATTTTTGATCTAACTGAACCAATCATGTCAATTATTGCTGGACTATTATCTCTAGCTAATTTTATGCAGTAAGTATTTAACCACTGCTTCTTACTCATTTGGGGTAATTTCACGTCTAACAGATAGTAAACAGTGTATTCAGGTTTTTATAAAAATATTAGTAATTAAAATTATTCTTATTATTTGCCTTTTACAGTGCCATCCACATTTCTTTTAACTTCAATCCGTATTTCTTCTTCTCTCCATATTTTTGCTAGTAAAGACATTAACCCTGTCCTTTTATCAGTAGCCCTCCATGTACATAAAAATGGCCCACAAAAAAAATTATCGCACATGTCGGTAAAAACAGCAAGAAATAAGCAACGAGAACAATATGGAACAATTTCAATAAGATCAAGGATAATATACACACCACCATATCGAATAAATTTTTCAAGACTTTTAGGAGACCATATTATGCATTCCCAAATATACGAGCCTATTGCTAGTAAAAGACTAATAAAATTTTTTACATGATAATATTTATATATTCTCATTTTGTTGTTAAATACATGTATATTACCGTTGATCCAGTTGGAATTCACTACCTTTCTGATAAATACAACGAAATAATAGTTTCATGATGAATGTAATACTATACTCTCCATATATATCATGGTAAAATTTTTGTTTTCTCATGAGTCTTTCAACTGATATTAATGCCAGTGTTAAAACCTTTTGCTCCTTTTCTCTGAGTTTTTCAAATTTCAAGATATACTTAATAAGTTCTTTAGTCCATAGAAAAGGGAAAATTATATATTGTAGAATTGAACAGTGACAAAATTTTGTCAATATAATGTATAGATAAAAAACTAACTAATTAATGATGATATAATTCCATATTCTCGGAAGTATTCTAATAAATATTTATTATTACTTAGAATAATTATGCAAATTGTTTTTATACAATTCATTACTATTTTGATATCAAATTTTGTATTTAGACACCATTCTAGCATTACACATAATCTGTAAAATATTAAGGATTATTTTACATCATAAGAACAAAGAGAAATGTATATTTATCTATTTTGACTACCTAATACCACCATCATATTCTATGAATTGTTTTGGCATTTTTGGTGCCAATATAGATAAAGCATTTACAGCATGAATCCATAAATCCCAAAATTGAGATGTGTTCCAAGTAACTTTTGTTCCCTCAATATCTGGATTAACAATTTGAAGTACAGTTTGCATCAGTTTTCTCTTTATCATTAACTATTGTAGATAACGTTAACATTAACATTAAAATGTTTCTTACAATTAAAAAAAGAGAGAAAGAGAGAAAGTAATTACAAAAATACAAGCATCAACTTCTGCTAAATGTGTAACAATTAATAATAAAGTTTTTTCAAAATGCAAATCATCAGTAGTTCTACCAAATTTTATCACTTTTGAAAATATTGTAGTAGACCCAAATTCAATTCCAATTAAGTATTTAATAACAGCATCAGCTATACCGCTACTAACAAGGTTCCAAGAAGGTAAGGTAATTGAAATTATAAGAATAATCATAGCAATTTCATTTCTAATCTTGGCACTAAACTTTCTATATTGGCTATAACATATCTGTCGCTTGAAAGCATAACATAGGCCCCTGTACAATATAAATTAATTTCATAATTAATGCAATATATTATTTCATACTCCTAAATATATTACCATAAAACACAATGAGTTGGTTTCAAATTTTCCCTTAAATTTCTTGGCATATTATTAGAAAAAATAATAGATTTCATCAAGCTCCAGAGAGTATTCATTATCAAAAGAGTTGTTTCATCACTATATTCTTCCCCATCTAACAATAAGTCAGGAGGCCGTGTACATTGTAATTGAATTGCATAAGGAAGATCCATTCTTATAAATATAACATTGAGTATATTAGCTTCCAGCATTCTATAACCTTTATTTAATATTATAAAAATATAATAAAAAATATAGTTCTTTAAATATTTATCAGACCTTCCAATTAAAATATTGATTTCACAGTACGTACAACATTTATGAGAGATGGATGAAAGTAAGAAAACTAGTTCTAAAATTTTTGGATACATTCTTAGAAAAGAAGCTTGCAACAATTCAGTCACAGTTAATGGTAACCTTGAGTTTTCCATAGCTTTACGACAATGTTCAACTTTCATTGTAGGAACATTTCTCACTTGTTCTTTTAATAACAAAGAATCAAGAGCCCTATGAATTTTTAATGTTTGCTGCTTTGTAGGTAAGACTACAAGAAGATGTCCTAACAATGTAAAATATTGTTCCATTATATCAATATGAATTACACTTTCAGATAGCTTTTCTAATATGGGTGGTACATTACAAAGCTCTAACATTCTATCAAGATGTAGCTCATATTCTTTAACCATTTTAACATTTTCACCCAAAAACTTTAATACTTTTATTACCAATGGTAAATCTGTAACTTTCTGAGAATTTGTAAGGAAATTCCTCTCATTGGTAATCAAATAGTTAATATACTAAAATTATGCTTGTTAAAGGATACGTAACCATCATCTCCTACTTTATCAAGATAATCATATAAAAGTCTGCATATGCGAACTATGCTATCACTTGTTATAGGATCAGATATGAGTTTGTCCAATTTTTGTAAAATACAATTAGTATCCAGTTTTAATTGTTCGTAGAAATCTAATATTTCTTTTGATAATTTGTCAGTTTTAGGACAAAGGTGGGTAACATATTTTGGACAATAAAATTCTTTCCAAACGTCTTTAACTTCCAATTTATTAAGATCATGTATTGCAGTTTTATTTTCCTCCATATGTTGCTATTTTTTTTGTACAATACGTTTGTCATAGATACAATATAAAACTGTTGAGCCGTTTAATGCAAAAGTGGTATAAGTCAGTCTTTCACCTTTTTAGTTAAACATTAATCTTGAAAGCATAACCCTCGTTCAAACATAAGTAAGTATATCTGTATTAGTTTCACAGTGGATAGTAAAATAAGTAAGAATCGCCTAGTTGACCCTTTAGAGAATCTTTGCTTTATCTCATCGTCTCATTACAAAGTAATCAACTTTTTTAACTTACACTACTATTGTATTAAATGATTCATTTGTACACATATAGTAAATTTTACATTATTTTAAAAATAATATACATAGAAAACGCTAAAAAAAAGGTAGTTAAACAAATTCTTACCTTCTGTAACTACAAGTACCACATAAATTTCATGAAAAATTCAAATAACCGCAATGTTATTCTGGAGTTTACAACACAATATTTACGCAGACGAAACATACACATATATAAGTACAAGTGAACACTCGAACTAATGGCGCCCTCTGATACAATATATTTAGAACATCTAGATGGCGTTCTCGTCAAATGAACCGCCGACTCAGTGTGCTTTAATTCGATTCGAATATTGTCAAAAATATATGATTCATCGTATTTGATTCCATACATATTTATGTTAAGTATTATAAACTATCAAAGAAGAAAGTAAAGATACAGTAACGTATATATTTAGAGTTCATTATCTTGAAAAATATCACTTGTAAAAGTCGTTCGTGTTAAGATAGTCACATACACGCGCGTTTAAATGTTTATGTGTCTCGTGCACGTGCAAGAGAGAGTTTGCAGCAGTCGCCGACGCTGTCGACAGTAGCAAGGTGTGTGCTTGTGCCTTTTACCTAAATCTTCCATCGCATCCAACAAATTTCATTTTCAACATTTAAAAAGCGTTTATATCAATAGAGAAGTTACACAGGTTAGTAACTACAGGAATGACGAACTTCCAAGCTATATCTACCTATAGTTTTACGAAATTAGAAAGTATACGCTTCTTACAACTATTTATGATACCGTATATTTCATATTTTCAATTCGTTGCCAGTAAAAACTGAAAATCAAAATTCACTTCTTGTTAACTGCAATTCTAATATGGCTACTTTACAGTATTACATCAAGGTGCTATAAAGTTAACATAACACTAGAAAAATGATCAAAACAGTTACAAAATCTCAGGTATTTAACAGTAACAAAATGATATATTCCAGATATCGGTTTCAAAAGATATTTGCATTTAGTAATCGATATCTACTATCTCGTCTAATGCAATAGACTTAGTTTCCTATTGCGTTGTCACTAGGCAGCAGATTTTTATGCAAATTCATATTTCTCAGAATATATTTAAGAGTTAGGTGGAAAATTGTTTTATCTACTAATAATTCATTATAGGAGGCATTATACTTTTGATATTTTATACGTCTTTTCTATGCAATTTTGCACACCCAAATTTCTCATAAATGCATAAAAATCCGCGATTTAGTTACCACTTTGATATCCATTCGCTTTCGATTTCAGTTTGGCGAGAGTTCAGTTCGATAAAAAGGAAATTCCTATATTTGCAGCGAATCGGAAAGTGAATTGACAATTTTGAAGGAAGGAGAAAAAGAGCTCTGCGTGAGGAAAAAAAGAGCGCATTAAACGCGGATCGGTGGCCGGTGCGGAGATGGTCGTTTGATCGTCGCTCGAAGTCAATGTCGAGATACACGGTCGCAGGTAGTCGCCCTCTACTACGCTCGTACGTAAGATTGGTTCGTGCGTGTATGGTGGTTGGTAGTAGTCGCGACGCTGCCGAGAGCAGCTGAAGTGCGTGCACGTCGTTCTTCGTGATCTAGCCAACACGGTGTTCACGGCGTGTGTATGTGTAATTCGTTTCTCGTCGAATTTTGCGTGGTCGCAGGGAGAAAGTGCTGAAGACGGATTAAGGATCAAAGAGAAGCTGGGTGTGACTCGCAATGTGACAAAACTTCGCCGACCTTGGCGGGACGGTGAGTGACCTTTTTGAATGGCATGCACGTCGTCGCTTCATTTTTTATCCGTATACAGAACACTGAGGAGCGGAGAACTCACCGGTGTTTCTACTGCTCGGCACTTTCTCACGGGAAAAATGTCTTATTAATTACTACGACAGCGAGACGTGTAACGAGCTTCGGCCACAATTATGCTTTCTGCCTTCGCCTGCTGAACCCTTTTCACCGTGTTCCGGCGGTCAGATAACCACGTTTTTTTCCTTTCTATCGTCACAGGTAGTATCTTCTTATTAACCTTTTACAAAATTCAAAGGAAACCTTGTTCTCTGGTATGAGAATGCGATTCACGTCGCTTCTGTTGTTTTTAACGTTTGTCTCTAGAAAGAGAAGAGGAAAAAAAAGGAAAGAGAGGGAGAGAGAGAGAGAGAGAGACAGACAGACAGATAGAGAGCGAGGAAGAGAAAGAAAGAGATAGTGGAAAAGGCGCGAGTATCTCCTTTCTAGTGGAAGAAAATTCTTGACATTTACGCATACAATTAGCCCATGCTGTATTTTATTTTCTCTAAACGCTTCCCGTATTCTGCCTACGTCTGTTTCACGCGCAATAACGTACGGCAGAGTTTGATCGATTCAACGTGCAACACATTGGCGTCTGGCTGTCCTTCTTGGTGTTCTGACGTACGCAAATACGCATAGACACGCGGTGAAGACGCGCGTACGCGAATAATGATTTGCAAATGATACGTGATAGAAAGGTCTTCGATAAGAAGCGAAAGTTGTAAGGTGAGTAGAGAAGACTCAGGGGCGAATAAGAAGCCCAAAAAATGCTGCGTTAGAAAAATTTAGATACGCCGTTGCTTTGGAGGGTTAGCAGCCTCGTTTCCCCGAGCCGGCGAATCAATATTTGAGGGTAAGCGTCCCGACTGTCGGCGTCGAAGCTGCAGAACGTGAGTCACTCACCCCTGATTGCGAGGGAGAAGGAGAGAAGGATGACTCTTCTCTTTTCTCTTTCACCCTCTCTTCTTGTATCGCGGCTGGAGTAGGCTCGACTTGCCTCGACTCGACTCGACTCGATACGCGTTGCGCCGTTGTGTGCAGGAAGACTGCAACATTCAGGCGGAAGTTGCTCTTTCCATCTTCATCGTGTCACCCCAATGGGAACAAATATCGATCGATTTCTTTCACGTAACTGGACTGCGGAGATTTAGGCGAATTCGTATCTTTAGGAAGAAGACGCGAAACTAAAGAAACGTGATCGAAGATATTTGTTATTCTCGTATTAAATACGAATTTTATGCGCATTTTATTCGGCCAGAAAAATTTCTTTGTTTATAGCGATACAAAAGCGATATTTAAAATTAAATTCTCAACGAAATCCTTGATAAAATGTATGGAAAAAAGCTGCGCGTAAGGGTACGGCAAGCGAAAGAAAACGGAGCAACAAATAGATATCATTGTATAATATTAGGAAAAATTCTTTAAAATATCTATGCTACATGTTTAGAAATCGATCGATTTTTCATTTTATCGGTTTTCGGATTACGTTTACCTGAAAATAATATCATAGAAATCATAGAAAGTTTTTTCTGTTTAATTATCACAGACTTCAGGACGATATAATCGAGGAGAAATCGCTGGAGATGTAGAAATTTGATGGGACGAGCCGGAATTTAGCTTGACGTTCCCGGTCGTTAATCGCCGACGAAATGAAGAAATAAACGCGTATCGAAGTTGTCGTCGCGGGATTTGGCGACGGTTTAATTAAGATACTTACGAATTTTCGGATTCCCTGCACAGTCGTAAGAACGGAACGTTAATTTACGACCTTTAAAAGACGGCCATGCACGCATACGAGCGTGAAATGTATGCACCTAACTAAACCCGTTTGAGGGAGTCACGGTGGGAACAGGTTCCATAAAATTGAGCGTTCTTCCGTAGGACTTTTATCTCCGACTAACTATCTTCGCACCGTACCACGCTTGTATCTATATAGAATACCACGACCCTTTTCCGATTTCCTAAACGCGTTCTCTTAGTCTTAGTTAGAAAGTCAAATTCTTTTGATTCTATGTCGATTATTATCACTATTAATATATTAGACACCTTCTTTTGTGTTATACTTTAATTTAATTAAAATATCAATGTAGCTACGTTATCGGATATGAGAAAATAACAAGAGAAAATAGCTGTTTCACTGGATGTCTTCGGTTTTAACTAATTTTAACACGTACTAAATTTTATTTTATTAAATCGTCTATGGGCTACAGAGAGATAAATGAAAGCCTTCTGACTGGATTTTTCTTACTACGTATCACCGCCCTTACAAAATTTACAATGTCTCGGAGCTATCGTTGTCGCGCGAGATTAGAATCGCGTGACTTTCAGGAAGGTAAATCGCGTGCAAGAATTCTTCCTTCGTATTCCTTCTTCCCAGCAACGGCGGAGAACGATATTAGGCACAATAGGATAGTTGTAAGTTAAAATAATCTTGGCTACCGTATTTATAATCGAGCGAAAGGCATAAGAAAGCGAAGAGGCGCAGACAGGAATGCTCGTATGATGACTGAATGAATGAGTATAAAGTGAAAAGTGGCATTTATTTTCGAATAAATCGAAAGAGGCACAGCCAGCATGACTATGTATATGGAAAGATAGTATCTCCGTGTAACACGATCACGATTCAAATCCTGCATTTATTCTCCAGTAGCAAGTCGAACGCTATTTTGTTTGGATTCGTGGTAGATCGATCGCCGCTGCTTCTTGCTTCTTGCAACTCATCAAATGGGATTTTGGGATTTTTATCATCACGAGATCTTTCATCGTCATCTTCCGTGACCAATTATTATCAGAGTTGGGAGAAGAGGAGACGCGCGTTCGAGAAGTCAATGAGCCAAGGTGTACTACGCTCGACTATGCTAGCCGGTCTACGCCTCGTCCTTTTCCGATTTTGCCGCGCACCGTTACGTGAATATGGTTTCGCGTACACGTCTAACGGTTGTTATTGTAACTGCCTCGCAATACCACGGTCTTCATTCGATTTTTCATCGTACGCTTTCTAGAAACATTGATCGATCGTTCCGCTGTAAAATGTTCAACTCGACGGTTGGCGAGTGTTAGAAAATTTGTCATTCTGGGGGAATTTAATCTCGCGTATCGCTTGATTATTTCTCGCATGCTTCTAGAAGAATTGTATTAATAATATATGCGAAATGAACATTCCAATACGATGACTTCGCAATTTAAACTGCCTCGGAATACCGTTTAATTTGTCGTTCGTGCGATTCCAATAAAAATTCGTTGTCATTCCAGAATTATTAATTAACCGAGAAAGTTCTCTGGCTATTTTCTACGGCGCGAGTAATGTAAAGAAATTATTCATCGAAATGTAAATCAAATTATTCTCCATATTTTTGCATCGTTCTTCTTCGTCGTAAAAGGGAACGGCAGAGCTTTGTTTCCTCTTATTCCAGAACGTAGGATCCGATTTATCGATTGCCAGAAAATGTATTATTCCAAGATTTTGATCTTCCACTTTGACTTTGATCTGTCGTGCTGGAAATTTGCTTTGCACATTATTGGCAAGGTCGACATTGCGATTCAAGTATTCCATACTTACACGTATGTCTAATAACTAACAAATCGTTCGAATCGAAGCGGAGTAGAGATAGATCGCATCTCTAATGGTAGTTTCATTGTCAATTAAGAGCTAACGAAGGAACATGCCGTGTTCTCAGCAGTGATCATGTAGATACTTGCTTGGCTCTGCAACCTTGAACGGAACCGTGTACGTACACCGGTTATTGTAATAGGTATGCGGAGTTGTTCGCATGTTCATTCGTGAGGCGGTCAGATGGACGAAGGCGAGTACCACAAAACGAGAAGTTCTCAGGGATGCTGGCCCGGTTCTCTTCGCAGGAAAATAATTCCTCCCTAATTTTGGCCAATCTTCGCCGGTCGTTGCAGCATTGTAAAACACGAAGACGAGACGCGGATGATTGGGAAAAAAGAATTCATCGAAAATCTCGTAGAAATCGATAAAATGTTTTCTCCAATCTTTCGTATCTTGCAATTTATCATGTAGGAAGATATTAACTACGAGATTATTTCTGGAGATTCTAGCTTCGAGCATTACTTTCTAGGTTTAATTCCGAGATTTAAATGAAAGAGAAGAAATCGCAAGACTTTTTGATATCAACTTTCCCAGTATGCTTCAAGAATATTTGCTGGCTTTTTATTTTATCTGAATTAGAAACACCAAAAAACATTCGATAATCATTAAACTGTCGAGCTGGATATTTCATGCCTGAGGCTATTTCGATCGGGTTAAGAATTTCTCGCAAGGCGATAGGCAGAGAAGCTTCTTTTCCTCGCTTGGAAAAATTTAACCGGCAAAGGTTTCCCCATAATCTCAGTTTACAACGGTCGAAGATGTTATAAGAATTTTTGGCCGATTTTTTTAACAAGTATCATCTACTGAAAAATGCATTGCACACGAAAGACCCGCGTATTACACGTTTACAGTTCGAGGATACCGTAAAGACGTTTACGGAATAAGGGTTAATAATATGATGTAGTATGAGCACGGTTACGACGGTCCAGAACTTGAAATATCGCTAGCCATTACGTAGCCATTACAGAAAATTTAGTTTCACGAGAAACGTGTTTCCAGTTTGCACGTTGCACTCTACAATTTTCCTTGAACCTGTGTAGCCGCGTCAATTTTACGGACTAAAAAGAAAAGAAGAAACAG